TTATATCTTTTAATTTCGTTTTTATCAAAACAGTTTCTGATATATCATAATAAACGTCATTATAAATATCTTCAAAATCTATTATTCTGTCTGTCATTTAAATGAATAAAAAAATAAATTATGACTTGGTAATATGTAGATAAAAAAATAATTTCATAAAAATTATTTGAAAAATATAATATAATCTATTTACAACGATTTTAACATATATTGTGATGAGAGAGGATGCGAGAGAAGCGAGTGTCCGAAATCGGCACAATATATATACTACTATTTCTAAAAAATTGATAGACTTTTTTAAAAAAATAAATATAATTTTAATTGAAAATATATAATTAATCAACTAATAGTAAATAACATCAAAAACTAAAACCATTTCGTTTATTTCGAAAAATAATTTAGTTTAACTAAACAATAAGTATTAATATTTAAACATAAATTTAATCATTTATAATAATACAAAGTAAAAACACAATTTTTAAGTCTTTCTGAAGTGATCTTTAAAATATTTTCATTAAAAATTGGCAACAACAATTGATTATTAGTTTATCAACATTTATTATATTGAATTGTGTATTACAGAATTAAAATTGCACAAATGTGAAATTGAAGGTATAAATTTGAAAGCGGATGTGTTAATTTAGGGTTTTTGATCCCAAATTTGGCGTTTTTCTAAGTTTTATGATTCGTAAATTAAGCCAATCCCTATGATTTGAATTTTGACAATGAAAAACAATGCAAACGAAATGAAAAGAATCAATAATTATGTTTTGTAACAATTCCAACATATAAATATTTTAATAGTGTTTTAATTATAGCAATGGTTATATAAAAAATCATCATGAATTTGTGTGTTTTTAATAATCAGCTAAAGTTAAAAAATGAATCAATAGTAATAATTGTTTTAATTAAACCATTATAAATAGTTGACAATGTTTTAAAGTATATTTGTTATTATTCAATTGTATTTTCGGGGTTTAAGACAAAACAAAACCCGTTTACAACTTGATAAATATTTTAAGTGTATTTTAATGTGTAGGTGAGTATTAGCTTTATGGTTTGTTTATTTTATTTATTATCAACGCAGTTATTATAAAAATGTTATGTTGACGTTCAAACTGGTTAATGCAGCTCATTATTACACTTTGGTTTGTGTTTTTCATACGCAAACGGTCGTGAAGGCCGTGAAACACAACCCAAAGTATCGTAAATCATTTTTATGTCGAGTATTGTTTGAATAATAACAAAATAATAAAAAATTTATCATAAACAAGAATAATAAAATGTATAGTAAATAATTAATATTGTTATAGTTTTTTGAGTTGAAAATTATAATAAATTTTATAATTTTGTAACTATTATATTAACTATATTTTCCTTTTCCAAAAATCGTGACTGTGTTGGAAATAGTAATTTTTGTCCAATTTTACTTGTTTGTTGTTGTAGTTATGTTTCATTAAAAGGCTTAAATTTAATGATTTACATGTTAGTTCGTTTTTGGCCAATTAAAAGAAAATGAACCCTAAATTAATATATTCGCTTTCAAATTAATACTTTCATTTTCACCCCTGTATATATCTTTTTACTTTAAATACAGGCAATAAAGTGAAGGCATTAATTTTCAATTAAATACTAAATAAAAGGATTTTGAGAATAAAAGAACAATTTTACGTCATATTTTTACTGTTTTTATATTTAAATTTTTGGTCAATTAAACTAAAAAATATTAAGAAAAAATTTAGACACATTTTTATATTATTTTTATATTCGATTTTGTTAAAAAAATAAGTTGAAAAAAACTTGAAAGAACTTAAAAAATAAATTGAAATCGAAAGAAAAATAGGCAAACACTAAGAACCACACAATTAATGCTAAGCCTTAATTCTTGTTAAAAAGTAAACAAAGATTAAATATTTTTGGTCTTATTTTACACGTTTGTTATTGTTATTTTGTCATTATTTATCACTTATTACATAAATATTCAAATAATAAATTTTATTACATCATTTTTAATATCTTTAATTAATGGTAAGTTGTGGGTGTAGTTATTGAGTATTGTGACTATTGAGAGCTTGCAAAAAAACAAAAACATTTATCATTTGTTTGAATGTGATGAAGCAGGATTTATGGAGTTTGCTTTTTTTAAAGTTTAGTTAAGTGATGGTTTTTTATTGGTTTATTAGCTTCTTGGTTTATGTGAGGTTGTAGTTTTTTCTATAGTTTTTAAATGATTAAAATAACTATAAAATATAATATCCAAACAAACAAAATGGAAACAAGATAATCAAAATGTCTATATTTATTATAATAAAAAGAACAAATTCGGCTTGTTTAATAAGGGTTTTATTGAGAATGACAATTTTTTGCCAATCAAAATAAAATATTTCAAAATAAGAAAACCCTTTTATTTAGCAATCAATTAAAATTTTATACATTTACTTCACTGCCTGTACACACAAATTTCATTAAATTGATATCATTTTATATTACAATTTTTAAAATGAATCAATTTTGGATCCCAAACAAAGAATTGTTTCATTGTCAAAATAAAATAAAATTTGCCTTTTATAATAACATTTCAAATTTTCACGTAAATAAAACTGTAAAAATCGGGCTCATTAAGATAATGAAAAA